CTGCATCTTGCTAACACCGTCTCCCACATCTGTTTTGCTACAAGGGGACGTTCACCAATCTGCAATCGGCTGATGCTCGGTAACCCATCCATGGAGACCTCTCCTCTTCGAATTACGATATCGACTTGGCCAAGAGGGTAGGCCACTTAATATTGGTAAGCGTTACAACTGATCGATCCAGACACTCTCGCTAATTATCTGTGTTTAACTCCGCAACGATTTTATCCTGGTTGCTTGACTTCGTGTGTGGTAAGTATGTTTTGGAATGTGAGTGAGTGTTTTAGAGTGTGTGAGTCTAGTATGGAGAGTGCGTGTGCGTGTGTCCTGGAGTGTGTGTGTGGGCTATTGAGTGTGTGAATGTGTCTTGGAGTATGAGTTTGACTTCTTGCGTATCTCATTAAAATCCACCGCAAAGAAATGACTTGATTTAGCTGCACGATAAAATTAACATAGTTTAAACGGTGCCTTTGACGATGTAAATCACTACTATTTTAATGAAGTATATATATATAATATATATATATATATATAATATATATATATATATATATATATATATATAAACACTGATCTCTGGCTGAAGGAGACTCGAACCTACGAACCCTGGAACAAGGTACGCAGTGCTTTACCAATCTACCCACACTGGACCAATGCCTTGGAGTCCAGCTTGCGCTAGATTTTGATCCAAGGCATCCAGCTTTCAGGGAGAAGGCTTACAGCCTTACTAGAGATATTAACAATGCATTGTTAATATCTCTAGTAAGGCTGATGCATGCAGGGGATGAGATGAAAAGCTGTAAGCCTTCTCCCTGAAAGCTGGCTGCCTTGGAACAAAATCTAGCGCAAGCTGGACTCCAAGGCATTGGTCCAGTGTGGGTAGATTGGTAAAGCACTGCGTACCTTGTTCCAAGGTTCGTAGGTTCGAGTCTCCTTCAGCCAGAGATCAGTGTTTGTGTATATTTCGCCTGCTCTTGCGAATTCCTTGCATATATATTTATATTTATATAATATATATATATAATATATATATATATATATAATATATATATATATATATATATATAATAGCAGCAATGAGTTACTTGTTGGAAAACTCAGACGTGTGATGAAAATCAATATCACCTCTGAAACAAACATTATAGTGATTTGTGTTTCGCAGCACACCAGTTGCATCATCAGAATCTATCAATTAGAAATGAAATATGCAACATAAATTACAGTACAATATCAATAAATGGTGCGATCAGAAAGAATTCTTATATTAGAATACAGTAACTCTAAGACATGTAAATGTTAAGCAATACGAACAATTGACCAAACGGAATATAAAGATTCAACTGTAGATTGACTCACGAATATAACGCTTTACAGGGAGCAATAGAGAAAAATGGGATGAGTTGTACAACGTAATCTTAGGACCATTAAGAAAAATTACATACATGACTCAAAAATTACTTCAAATAATTGACAACACAGCCTGGGAGTTTCAGTCATACCAAAAACAGAGTAACTGAAAGAAATTTTCCTTCTCTCCAATGCCGATGTGTAAACAGTGTCTGCACCATCAGGAGGTCGCTGTCTGGCTGACCATGAGCTACGACTCTGAAATCCTCTACCATAACATGTGAGTGCAGCTCTTGGTCATCTATACTGTAGAGATGCTTCGCCATCCAAGTGACTATACTATCATATCAATACAAAGAACAAACGTTCATTCTCTGTACTGGTTTAACGAAGCTGCTGGTTGGAGAGACTTTTCCACAATAAACACAGTTCAGGAACTTTATTAAAGGAACGTTTCGCCACGAGTGGCGAAACGTACAGTACACAAGTACACAAGTGTACAGTACACAAGTGTGTGTATCCACATCCTGTCGGTATCACCCTACCATTTCTCATACCCAAGTGTTGTATATGTGTCTTATTCACTTCATGTCTAAATCATATCAACATCTCCTCTCCCTCATTCTGAATAGTTCACTCACCTACTTAGTCTATTAAATTCTTTTTTTTCTTGTTGTGGGCATAATATTCACCTGCACACATTGACCTTAGACACGACATGTCAACTCCATAATAGATTATCACATACTACGTGAAGGAAAAACTATTGCAGAAAATTGCAATTTAAAATATCAGCTGTTACCGCGTACTTTTTTTTTCACAAAAATCTTACTCACGAAAACCTGGCCAAGTTTAAATTAGGGCCTCACGCACAGTCATTTCTGGGAAGGCAAGTAGGTAGTGTTGCCCCTTGGTAGGTAGTTGCCACTGTAAGGATTTCAGTACACATAGGTTAAAGCTGCCTGCTAGTGTACTCACCTATATGTGGTTTCAGGGGTCGATTCATAGCTCCTGGCCCCACCTCTTCACTGGCCGATAGTAGGTCACTCTCTCCCCGCTCCTAGAGCTTTATGAAACCTCTTCTTAAAGCTGTGTATTGAACATGCCTCCACTACTTCACTCTCCAGATTATTCCACTTCCTGATAATTCCAATTTCCAAGTGTGACCCCTTGTTCCTGTGTCCCATCTCTGGAACATTCTGTCTCTGTCCACCTTGTCAGTTCCTCTCAGTATTTTATAAGTCGTTATCATGTTTCTTCCCTGTCCCTCCTGTCCTCCAGTGTCGTTAGGTCGAGTTCCTTAACCTCTGCTCGTAGGACATGCTCCTTAGCTCCGGGACTAGTTTCGTTGCTAACCTTTGCACTTTCTCTAATTATGTGTGTGTGAATTAATGACATTGTTTATAGAATCCCAATGTTTGTTTTCATTCGCCTCGTCCCTTTTTAAATCTACACAAAAATGTTAGCCTTGAAATACGCGATAGAAATTTGCGTCTAAAATTTAATTAGAAATGTTCGTTCAGAATGTGGTTCTACTTCCCTAAATTGTTTGTACGTAAATTGAGCTGATGCAAAACTAATGAGGACGATAACAGGAGAGAACTGGACGGAGACTCCAAGATGACTTACACGAACTGTAAAAGTGCCTCAGAAAAGTGGCTGTTCTAGTTCAATCCTAATATGAGCAAATTAATGAGAATTAGTAAGGGAGTGTGTAAACATGATACAAAATGTAGATTCCTGCATATTCTTATCGCGTATGAAGGGAATGGGTTACGAGCAGAGGCTTAGGGAGTTCAACCGATCAACAAGAAGAAAGAGGGATCATGAGAGATATAATCATAATATACAAAATACCCAGGATATCAGATAAAGGAGGTAGGGACAGGCTGTTTGAGACTAGAGAAGAGGAAGCCAGGGAACACAGGTGACAGGTGAAATAGAGCTTACGACTCTGTAAATGGTCCAAGACACTAAATGAGAATACTCAAACACACACACACACACACACACACACACACACACACACACACACACACACACATACACAACACACACACACACACACACACACACACACACACACACACACACACACCACACACACACACACACACCATACACACACACATCCACACACACACACACACACACACACACACACACACACACACACACACACACACACACACACACACACACACACACACACACACACACAACCCGCGTTCCCTTTAAAAACAAAGATTGATGGGAACAAAAAGTATTAATTTATCTATTCGTGTTGATTGCAAGGGTAGAAAGTTGAGAATACCCAGCAATCTGTCTCCCTTAAGTTCAAAGAGAAACTTGAAACATGAGCCAAACTTGGAAACAGAGGATGCCGGAATCCTGACCCATCCCCAGGCAACCCCCGTGTCCCTGGACAGTAGATAATAACATGGCGATATGTTATCCCTAACATAAATGATTTAAAATTTTGTATGAGCGAAAATCAAAGGAAATATCTTCATTTTATTCTTAAGTCTTGCGGGAGTTTCTTTAAAACATTACATGAAGATTAATGAAACCCAAATATTTACATTCCGTAATCAAATTTGCGTCACGTGTAATTCTCCTACATTTTTTTCCTTAGCTTATTTGCCTTGTTAATTTATTTATATTTTTATCAGCGTTTCGTAGACAGGGAGTAAGAATTGCTTTAGTTTAGCCTCCAAGGAGGTTGGGACGGGACGGGAGGGGTAACTGTAATATACTTTCTCTTGCGAAATATATTTTTAAAAATATTGTATATGTGAAAGTAACTTTAATGTCTGTGCAATATAATTGGTCAAAAGGGAACTTGGCTCCGCCCCTCCTTCCTCAAAGTGGCCAATAAGGAAGAGGCGTCGTTTTTACAAGACTCCTTACAGTTTTAAGATAAATTTAACTGAAATAAAAATCGATATGCTGCCCACCTCTCCGAGTTCATTATCTTGCCTATTTAATTAAGGAAATGACTCCTTCCAGACATGGCTGGTAAAGTTAATTAGGCAAGTTCCATCTTTTATCTTATTTTTTTTTTTACGCTCTTATTTTTCTAAACCTGAGTTTATATTAGTTTTAGACACCTGAAAAAAAAAATACCTGATGCATACATACTGGACGGTTTTACATATATATTGAATAAATATCTCTCATATGAAGGGATTTGTTATTACAGGGATAGCTCAACACGCATGAATGAAGGAATCAAATTGAAATTTGGAATTTGTTTTTACCGGATGTCAGTTCTGACACATGTATGTTGCTGAAGAAGACACATGTGCAACACTTGGGTTACCTTTATTGCCTAAAATATAGATACGCAGGTGTTGCACATGTGTTTTATTGATCAGCTTCTTATTGTATATCACATATAATGACACATGTGGGTTACTTACAACATTATTATTATAATTATGGGGGAGCGCTAAACCCGTAGGATTATACAGCGCATGTTGGGGGGATGGAAGGTATTCAGGGTCAATTCAGGGAACTGGAACACAGATCCAATTCCCTAGATCAAGAGCCCCTCACCAGCATCAAGGAACCTCCCTTCAAGGGAGGTTCTTTGATGCTGGTGAAGGTCTCTTGATCTGTGCTCCAGTTCCCTGGATCTGTGCTCCAGTTCCCTGGGCTGAGGCTGAATGCCTTCCATTCACCCCCCCCCTTCCCCAGAGGCTCTGTAAAATCCCTACGGGTTTATCGCTCCCCTCTGATGAAAATAATTATTTAAATAAGAAGAGGTTTGATCCAGGGGAAAGGAGGGAAGCTTTAACCCCTGTCATCAAGAGCCTGGAATCAATGCATTCAAAGACTGGGCTGCGGGGACACGGACCCAAAGACCGCCCTTCAGGGAGACCTTATCCGTCTCGAAGAACGCCTGAAGAAAGAGGTTAGACTCACCTGTAATCCATCTATGACGGTGCGACAGTCGTCCTGCGGGACCTTGTCGCTGACGTCCACGACCAGACCCTCGTAGCCTCCATCCTTCAGTGTGAGATGGAAGCTCCCTTCCCAGGTGCTCGTGGACGAGTGATCCGTTTCAGTCCGCTTCTGCCGGTCAGTGAGATCCTCTTCTTCCTCCTCCTCCTCGTCTTCCTCTTCAGAAGTCGCAGCTTCGTGTTCCGAGGCAGTCTTGGGGAGGGAGTTATGGGTAGTCCTGACTGTCTCCTGCCACTTGGAGTTGACGTAAGAACCTCCAAAGGAACCTTTGACATCGTTTCTCCACCCCGACGTCTGACTTGGGATGGTTCTCACGCTGGACTCAATCTTCAGATGCGGCTGGTCTTTGATTTCACCGTACCAGTGGTCCCGCTTGTGGTGGAAGGTAGACCCCAACGTCTCCGACACTTTCGTAGAACTCTGTGACTCGACCCTGGGAGCCAAGAGGGCGAGGAGTGCCAGAGGCACCATTATCAACGCCACCAGGGAAGGTGGGGGATGCCTAGAACTTCCCCTGGGTATGGCGGTGATGGCCGCCGGAACAAACCAAAACAAATGGTACCTGTCTAGCTTAGGGTCCTTCATTTTTCCTCAGATCTAGTCAAGCCGTGGAAGATGTACGACCTCGAGCGCTCGAGATCGTTTGTCTAGATCTCGCGTGATCTGGTTTCCGACGAAGGAGTTGATCTCTCTCGAGGTAAATCCAATTCCTGCTGGCTGGACTCACACATCGCCGCTAGTTCGAATAACCACCGACCTTCCCTGACCTTCACGCCTCATTCACTCCACCTGGAAAAAAAAAACAAGACCGCGTATTAATTTGGATCAATGTAAGGAAATTGTGAAGACTTTTAATAGCCAAAGTACAATCTCGGACGCGATTATATTGTAATCTAAAAGGGGCGTATTTTTCCTCGGGGAAGAAACACGCTGTGTAAAATAACGCACGGGGTCTATTAATTACGCTGATGCAAAGTTGAGCTCATTTGCCAAGCCTCGGCCTCAGTAAATTTCAGAGGTTTATAAATAGATAACATGGCGATGGTGTAGTGAAGATAACATGACGGTGTAGTGAAGATAACATGATGGTGGTGTAGTGAAGATAACATGATGGTGGTGTAGTGAAGATAACATGATGATGGTGTAGTGAAGATAATATGATGGTGGTGTAGTGAAGATAGCATGACAGTGAGTGTACTGAAGATAACATGACAGTGAGTATAACGAAGATAATATGACAGTGAAGATAACATGCTCTCTCGTTTCTTTCTTGTTTTTCCTTTCACTTCTCGTTTCCTACTTCTCCTTCTTATGCATTACACATTACTTTCCTGTGTTAATCCCTGGTGTTCCCAGTTTGGGAGTGACTCAGGATCTGGGCCAGAGTCTGTCATTATTTACAAGAGACTTTATTAATGAACGCCTGCAATAAAAATGAGCCAGTGTAAAGTAAGACCAGGAATTCCAGTATTGTAAACTTTACAAAAGACACGGGGAGCAACTCTTTCTTTCTTTCTCTCTCTCTCTCTCTCTCTCTCTCTCTCTCTCTCTCTCTCTCTCTCTCTCTCTCTCTCTCTCTCTCTCTCTCTCTCTCTCTCTCTCTCTCTCTCTCTCTCTCTCTCTCTCTCTCTCTCTCTCTCTCTCTCTCTCTCTCTCTCTCTCTCTCATCAGCTTTGAAAACCACTGAAAGGAAACTTGACCATCGAAACAAGGCGTCGATGTTTTTACATATCATTCTAGTTAGGTTAGGTTAGATTAGATTGTATTAAATGAACTTCTAATTACATAATTATAACCGTTAGAAGCGATATCAGGATATTACAAGCGACTTACCTCTGGCAGCGAGGGAAACCACCGTCGTTTCTTAAAGTGTTGTTATACCTACGCTACTAGGGAGTGCATAGATGAAATTGATAACACAGGATTATAATGATAATATCTTTATTTCTACAAGTACATGTACAAGGTATACAGTCTTAGTTGACATCAGTGACATACTATAGTAAAACACTCGTTATGCAGAGCATTTCGGGCAAATTTGGTCAATTTTGTTCTGGGATGCGACCTACACCAGTCGACTGATACCCAGGTACCCATTTTTACGGACGGGTGAACATGGACAATAGGTGTAACGAAACACGCCCAATGTTTCCTCCCTTGCCGAGAATCGAACCAGGACGGTCAGCGTGTGAAGCGAAAGTTTTTACCACCAGGCCACGGGCCACCGATTAACAAATCCAGACCGAGGCTGTCTGTCGAGATAAACTATCTACTTTTATCTGGATTAAGGACTATCATGTATTATCTACATACACAAATAATCTGTACATAGAGAAAAGCTGTTCTCTCTCTCCTATGTGCTAGATATTTGTGTATTGTTCCAGCCCTGGTATTGTACCATTTTGTTCTTCATTATCTCCCCTCAAGGAAGGTTCCTTGATGTTGGTAAGGGGCTCTTGATTTAGGAAATTGGATCTGTGCTCCAGTTCCCCGAATTAAGCCTGAATGCCTTCCACATCCCCCCCCCCCAGGCGCTGTATAATCCTCCGGGTTTAGCGCTTCCCTCTTGATTATAATAATAATAATAATCTTCATTATCTACATATTTGAGATAAGGACAGTAAAGCGCATTATTCTCTGTATTTCAGTTGGTAGACGGTTACTGAAGTGATTGATCCAACCTAGAAGGATTAGAGATATAGAATAGAATCCTCGGATGGTAACCTAACTTTACCAGGTAATCTGAGATAAGGTAATCGGGCCATCCTGAACGACTGTAAGTAATCAAGGTAACAGTTTATAAATATCTCTTACAAATTTATGAAATCAATATTTTTCTTCGAGAACGTAAGATATATATGCTATGATGCTGTAAGATCAGCGAATGGAGATTGAAAACCTCCATACCGATTTAGCGGGAGGGTGGGTGCGGGAGGGTGGATGCGGGAGGGTGGGTGCGGGAGGGTGGGTGCGGGAGGGGTGGGTGCGGGAGGGTGGGTGCGGGAGGGTGGGTGCGGGAGGAGGGTGCGGGAGGGTGGGTGCGGGAGGGTGGGTGCGGGAGGGTGGGTGCGGGTGGGCGGGTGCGGGAGGACGGGTGCGGGAGGGTGGGTGCGGGAGGGTGGGTGCGGGAGGGTGGGTGGTGTGGAGGACGGGTGCGGGAGGGTGGGTGCGGGGAGGGCGGGTGCGGGAGGGCGGGTGCGGGAGGGAGGGTGCGGGAGGGCGGGTGCGGGAGGACGGGTGCGGGAGGGTGGTGCGGGAGGGTGGGTGCGGGTGGGCGGGTGCGGAGGACGGGTGCGGGAGGGTGGGTGCGGGAGGGCGGGTGCGGGAGGGCGGGTGCGGGAGGGTGGGTGCGGGAGGGCGGGTGCGGGAGGACGGGTGCGGGAGGGCGGGTGCGGGAGGGTGGGTGCGGGGGGCGGTGGGATGCGGGAGGGTGGGTGCGGGAGGGTGGGTGCGGGAGGGGGGTGGGGTGGGCGTGCGGAGGCGGTGCGGAGGGCGGGTGCGGAGGGCGGGTGCGGAGGGTGGGTGCGGGAGGGTGTGGGTGCGGGAGGGTGGGTGCGGGAGGGTGGGTGCGGGAGGGCGGGTGCGGGAGGGGCGGGTGCGGGAGGGTGGGTGCGGGAGGGTGGGTGCGGGAGAGGGTCGGGTGCGGGGGGGGGTGCGGGAGGGCGGGTGCGGGAGGGTGTGGGCGGGAGGGGGGTGCGGGAGGGTGGGTGCAGGTGGGCGGGTGCGGGAGGGCGGGTGCGGGAGGGCGGGTGCGGGAGGGCGGGTGCGGGAGGGGGTGCGGGGGCGGGGGGGAGGGTGGGTGCGGTGAGGGCGGGTGCGGGAGGGCGGGTGCGGGAGGGCGGGTGCGGGAGGGTGGGTGCGGGAGGGCGGTGCGGGAGGGCGGGTGCGGGAGGGCGGGTGCGGGAGGGTGGGTGCGGGAGGGGGGTGCGGAGGGGGGTGCGGGGGGGGGTGCGGGGGGGTGCGGGAGGGGTGCGGGGGGCGGTGGGGGCGGGCAGGGCGGGTGCGGGAGGGTGGGTGCGGGAGGGCGGGTGGGGGGAGGGCGGGTGCGGGAGGGGGTGCGGTGAGGGGGGTGCGGAGGGCGGGTGCGGGAGGGGGGGTGCGGGAGGGGGGCGGGTGCGGGAGGGCGGGTGCGGGAGGGCGGGTGCGGAGGGTGGGTGCGGGAGGGGGGTGCGGGAGGACGGGTGCGGGAGGGTGGGTGTCGGTGAACGGGGGGCGGGAGGGCGGGTGCGGGAGGGCGGGTGCGGGAGGGCGGGTGCGGGGGGGAGGCGGGAGGGGGGTCGGGAGGGTGGGTGCGGGAGGGCGGGTGCGGGGAGGACGGGTGCGGGAGGGTGGGTGTGGGTGAACGGGTGCGGGAGGGCGGGTGCGGGAGGGCGGGTGCGGGAGGGCGGGTGCGGGAGGGTGGGTGCGGGTAGGACGATGAGCGTCTAGCGGAATAATGAGGTAGAGAGAGTGGTAAGAAAGAAATAGTTTCGCAAAAATATTAAAATGATCAACATAACATTTTTAATTAACACTGCAGTGTTAAATTAAACCAATCAGAATTATTATTTATTCCCTCGGGATATTATTTTAGCCTCTCAAGATGTTAATATAACCTTTAAGGATTATACATCTTTCTCTGATTACTAAATCTTCCCTTCGCTTTAAAAGCTGTGTAGAGATCATCAGCTTTTGTTTTATCAGTAGCAAA